TGTTCAATTTGCATGCATTATCAAATTAATTTTATTTTTGATCAAACGTTATCTAGAATTCTACCCGACTTCTGAATTCAACAACTTGCAGATTCGTGCATTCTATCATGGATGCAATATATCTAGTCGAAATAATAACTTTAATTTTAAACCCTTGAACTTTCCCTTTTATCATTTCTAAAATTTGAAATCATATTAACTGTTTCTTAAATTTATACTTGTTGTTTCACTTTGTTTTGAAATAAATAAATAAATATTTGATGAATTCATATTAAGTTATTTCGTATGTTGTGTGATGACTTAAGATATTAAAGCTATTGAAATATTCATGCTATCATTTTGCTTTCAATATATGTGGTATGCAGAAGCTTTATGAAAAGTCTTTGAAATAAGCAAAAGTCTTTTTGACTTTTTTAAAATGCATCCATCAAACCAATATTTATGTATCATTTGTTTTTCTTTTTTTTCTCTCAAAAAATGAAAAATGTAGTTTTAAGTGATAACAATAACAGTAAATAGAAAGAAAAGAAAAACAAATAATCAATGACCAAAAAAAAAAAAAAACAATATTACATATAAATAAAAAAAAAGAAACCCCAAAACGACGAGTGATAATAAAAATCAATCATTGAACTTATGCATATGTTTAACTCAAATAACTGGCCATTTTGATACTAAAAGAAATAAAAACTTAATAAGACATTTTTGTTTAATATTAACTTACCGAATAAAAATTTTAGTAGCACAATATGCGACAAGAATGAATATAAATGAGCAAAGTATGATTAATACTCGATTAAGACATGGCATATTTAGTTTATTTGTTTGATCAAGAAAATTAAATCCAAGACCACCTAATGTAAGCATAAATGAAGTACCATAAGACCTTCCATTATATATTGACCATTAATACGCCATGCCATAAAAGCAACAGGTTTATGATGGCCATATTCATCAGTTATACTACGTAAAGAAAAATTTTATTTAATTTGCAATTAAATTTTTTTATTATTTTACTGATCAACATTTGATAGGTCAACAATAATATCATAAATAATATCGGCAGTTAAAAGAAAATAAGAGATGAGCAAACCAAATAAAACTCTAGTAATAAAAAAAAGAGTGAATTTAATAGATTGAAATGAATTCATTTTTACGTTGTATTTGAAGATTTTCGAATTCATGATGATTTTTTTAATTTTAAATTTGAACAATTGAACAACAATAAACGAAAGTCGATAAAGCTTTCCATTACCTTACTTTTTTAATTATCAAAGGAAATAAATCTAAAAGAAATAAAAATTGTCTACGATAAAAAATAATCATTTTCGTTCCACTATTACACTAATAATTAATGATGATTTAATATTTCTAAGATAAAACAAGATGAAATTATCTTTTTCATTTTGTAAAACAGAATAGAAATCTAAAGATAATATAAAGTTTTTTTTAGGTTTCAATCATCTGATATGGGTCAAAAAAAAAGAAACAAAGGACATCTCAGTTTCAGTTGCAACAAAAAAGAAAAGATTTCAACTGGTGCTGCTTTCACAACAGCAACAGTAACCACGTGTGCCAAAAAACACTACAAAACCAGCTAGTACTAGTATAACAACTACTACCAAAGTTATTACAAAAGAACGTAAGGAACTGGTTCAAACAAAGGCACTCAAAGCTAAACGAGCTGTTTAATAAATAAAATTCATCTTATAGACATACTTAACTCTTTATTCTTATTTAGTAGTACTCTATTAAAACATAAACGTAAAATTCGTATAAAACCAACATTTCGTCATTCATTCATTTACACTTAATATATGATGAATATAAATAATACACTTCTTATTTTGTATATTAATTATTAAAAGAATTTTCTACTTGGAAAGTCATGAAAAAAAAGCGTTAGTGACGTAAGGACTTGAAGTTATTTCCTTTAATTATAATCTTAACTTGAACTTAAGTATAAGACTGTTAAGCTTTCTTTTTCTTGTGATAAGATTCAATACAGATTTTATTATTGAAATTAATAGATAAAAATAAGTCGAGCTGAAAAACAAATGGATTTTGTACTGACGACCTTTAATCATAAGATAGTTGTCTTGTTTATAGAACGTTTTTTTTTTTTTTTTATTTATAATAAGGTAATCAAGGATGTCCAATGTCGCCGGTTTGAATTACATAAGGCGACATATTATCACATTTCCTTAGAGAACCAAATATAAAATTTTTTTTAATGTAAGATCATTTAGAAAAAAAAATACAACAGAAAAGCTTATCTTTTCTATCCGAAGAGATATAACATAATTAAATAATTGAATTGAAATGATGAAAAAAAAAATTTTGTGTTGTTATATTTCTAGATGAATAATTTATCATTATCAGATGATTTAACATTAGCACAGCATGAAATTGATGATCTATGGCATAATATAAATAGTTCACCATCCGATCATGTTTTTTATTGGATATCAATTGCAAGTTTTACATTTGCTATATTCGGTTCAATAAGTAATTTAATGTTGATTATTGTTTTAAATCATTTAAGTAGTCATTTATCAGCATTTGCTTATTTAACTGGTTTATCTTTATCTGATATGATAACATGTATATCAATAATAATGACACATTTATTTGATTTTATTGTTCAAACACGTCGAAGTACATCAATAACAATATTTTTTCGTTATATTGAAATAATATGTAGAGGATTAACTGCTGGTAGTCGTGTATTATCATTATGGATATCAACAGCAGTAACAATGGATCGTTGGATATTAATATGTTATCCAATATATAGTAAAAAATTTTGTACATTAAAACGAGCTAAAATTATTTTACGTACATTATTTATAATTGCATGCATTTATTCAATTCCATTATTTTTTGGATATGAATTAATTCAAATGCCAAGTGTTTTACAAATGATTCATATTGATAATCAATCATCATCATTATTAATTGATGAAGAATTTCTTCGAAATAGTATGCTTGTTACTAAAGGTTATAGTGATTTAGCTAAACGAAGACTTTATCGTTGGGCTTATATGTTTTTTAATGCTATATCTGTTTATACATTATCAACAATAACAATTGTTTTTTTTTAATATACAATTAATTCGTGCTTTACATCATGTTAAATCACGTACAAAACGTTTAAGAGCAGAAAATTCTATAAATGGAAATAATCATCATCATTCACATCATTCTCATCAAACAAAATATTCTGTAACAATTATGGTTATAATAATTGTATTAACATTACTTATAACTATTATTGATGTTGAATTTTTGTTTTTGTGTGTAATCTGAAGTAAGGACAGAAATATAGATTTAAAGAAAATAACAATAATATGTAAACAGAATAATATGTTTATAAATATGTAAAAAATTC